GGTAACATCAGATCTGCTGAAAGATGGGGAACAGATTGTGTTAGAAAAACTAGCCACCCTGTTTACGAGGTGTCTCCTGACGGGAAGAGTACCTGAGTCTTCGAAGAACGCTAACATCATCTTAATACATAAGAAAGAAGATGACAAGGACTTCAAGAACTACAGGCCGATTACCTGGCTCTCTGTAGTATACAAGCTATTTAGAAAAGTAATTGCTAACAGAGTTAAGAAAACATTAGAATTTAATCAACCAAAGGAACAAGCAAGATTTCGAACAGGCTACTCAACAATCGACCACATTCATACTATCAATCAGGTATTAGAGAAATGCTCAAAATATAATCAGCCACTATACGTAGCCTTCATAGATGACGAGAAGGCGTTTGATTCAGTAGAAATATCAGCCATCATGCAGACACTGCGGAATCAGGGCGTCGATGAAGTATATATAAACATCCTGGAAGAAATCTGCAGGGGATCAACTGCAACCATAGTGCTTAATAAAGAAGCAACAAAATACCAATCACGAAGCTGGTAAAGCAGGGAGACACAATCTCCCCGATGCTATTTACCGCGTGCTTGCAGGAGGTTTTCAGAAGCCTAGAATGGGAACAGTTAGGGATAAGAGTTAATGAAGGGTACTTCAGTAACCTGCGCTTTGCCGATAATATTGCATTGCTGAAAAACTCAGAGGACGAATTGCAACTCATGATTACGGAGTTAGACAAGGAGAGCAGAAAGGTGGGTCTTAAAATGAATCTGGAGAAAACGAAAGTGATGTACAACAACCTCAGAAAAGAGCAGCGCTTCGGGATAGGTAATCGTGCACTTCAAGTTGTAAAAGACTATGTCTTCTTAGGGCAGGTAATAACCGCGGAGCCGAACCACGAGATTGAAGTAACTCGAAGAATAAGAATGGGGTGCAGCACATTTGGCAAGCACTCTCATATTATGACAGGTAGATTGCCACTATCTCTCAAGAGAAAGGTATATCACAGCTGTATCTTGCCGGTACTTAGCTACGGAGCAGAAACCTGGAGACTTACAAAGAGGGTTCAGCTTAAACTGAGGACGACGCAGCGAGCAATGGAAAGAAAAATGGTAGGTGTAACCTTAAGAGACAAGAAGAGAGTAGAGTGGATAAGGGAACAAACGGGGGTTAAAGATATCATAGCTGAAATCAAGAAGAAGAAATGGACATGGGCCGGGCATGTAGCGCGTAGACAGGATAACCACTGGTCGTTAAGGGTAACTAACTGGATTCCCAGAGAAGGCAAGCGGGTTTGGGGGAGACAGAAGGTTACGTGGGCAGATGAGATTAAGAAGTTTGCAGGTATAAATTGGCAGCAGCAAGCACAGGACCGGGTTAACTGGCGGAATATGGGAGAGGCCTTTGTCCTGCAGTGGACGTAGTCAGGGTGATGATGGGGATGATGATTCTACGTGCAGCCCTGGCAACACAACAGGCAAAAGGCTGCGTGAGCTGGCGTCTGCATTGCCTGTATCTATCGCTGCCGTTGGGGAAGCTGCCCAAGGAGTGAACAATATTTGACAATGAGACTGAACTTTTACACTTCACCATGATTTCATTTAAAAGAATGGAGAAACTCCATGTGTATGTAGAAAAATAAAAGGTATCGATGTCTCACTTTTGGCTCTCGTTGTTGCCGTGACTGCGAAAGCAGTTACACATAGGTGGCTAACTACTTCTTCGCGTGTTCTTTTCTGCGCAATTTGTTGCTCACTGCGAAGAAAAACAGGCGAAAAAATTAGGCCTGGCGAAAAATAAACAAAAAACAATGTGTGAACTGGGGTTGAAAAGAATATCCGATTGGAGTATTTGAGTGGATCAACTGTTCGTCCGGCAAGGTGCAACTGTGAACACTAGCAGTTGCGCGGTAAGATGTAATTGTGGGAATTAACAGTTGCTCTATAAATTGCAAATGTGAGGACTAAATGTTAGTCCTTTGAGGTGAATTATGGGACTAACGGTTCCTCACTATGGTGTAAATGTGAGGACTACATGTTAGTTTCTTAAGTTCGTCTGCGTGGACTAACTGTTAGACCCAGTGCCGTTAGTCCTTAAAGATAATAATGGTTGTGGCAGCCCCAATAGTCCCCAAAAGAACGAACCACACACCCTTTTAACACCCTTTTGCCTTAGAGTGTAAAGGCACCAATACATTTTGACGTGGCGCGGTGCGCGTGCTCGCCGGCGTTGTTTCGTCACGTCAAGCCGGCGTTTGCACGCCAGGCGCCGGTCATGCCATATACTCGCAGGTGCACGTCGCGCTGCGTTGCTTTGACGCATTAGCGTTTCAGCGCGTCCGGCAGGCCTCCGCCACGAAAAGAGGGAGACGCAGTGTTGTCTGGGTAACGAATCGGTGCGAAAGGCTGAAATGCAGCATGTCGCCTTTCGCGCCAGTTGTCGTCGGGCCGAGCCAACGGACGCTGGTCGCGCCTGGCGTCAGACTATAGAGTGCTTACGTTTTGCTAACGTAGCGTCACTGTGCCGAGCGTGCGCGCGCGTCAACGCTAAATTGGAGTAATGTGGGCCCTTCATGCTGCGCTTACGGCCGTTTTGCAAGCTCCAAATATACCAAATTTGGTTTTACGTGACGTCAATGAATGACGAAATATATGACTGGTGTAAACATGATAATCCTGACACGCGTGTCATGTAAGAACTTGACAACAGACCACTGCTGATAGCGTACTCGTGGCCGTTTTGCTAGCTCCACATATATAAACTGGGTATCACGTGACGTCAATAGTTGACGAAGGTAAAAGATGCACCCAAACATGGTAATCACGACACTGAAGTCTTGTACGGCATCACTTACCTCCATGTCGTAACGTTGTGCTGATTTTAAAGTGACATATCGATATTTCTCACTCGCACTTGCTTCGCATGTCATTCATTCCGAATTTACGTGAGACATGCCATTCTTTTGCGGTTGTGAATTGAAAAAAAACTGCCTTGTTGCCATTATCACAGTGAAAATTGTTTCACGAAGCAGTTGTTCGTGTTGAATGAATGTGCCAGGTTTAGTTGCAAGTGCAGATCCCATCTATCTGGAGTAAGTAACAAACAAAACTGAAGTTGAACGGTCAAATCGTAAGTTTACTCGCGACCTAACAAACTTACCCCAAATCGGCATTGCGCAGTGGTTAGCATGTTCAGCTGAAAATCCTAAGGTTGCACGTTCAGAATCCTCGTGGTCGCAGTTTTATTTAAACGGGAGATTTCTTTACTGTTTTCTATACAAATATTCTTTTCGTTTTCGTTAGTGGCAGCTCGTCACGGTGGTTCTGACATCATTTTGCGCTCCAGCATTGGCGGCACTCCATCATCCACCATCCACCATGCCACCATTCACCATGTGCCACCATATTTCCAGCACCACAATCCACCAAAATGGTGGATGGTAGCATCCACCATTGCTATGATAAACGTTTTTTGATAGTGATGGCTGTGCCTTCTTCGACCCCATGACAAGCAACGATGAGCGCGGCAAGTGTGGAGTACGACCCAGCCCCACAGTTAAGGATGACAAGTTGATTTACTGCTCCGTGGTATGATTGACACCCTCAGGGTGGCCTCTTCGACACCCGACATCTTGTTACGACGTAGCCGACCAGTATATCTGTTATACAAAAACAAATAATTATGCTCGGTTCATTGACGAGCGACCGATGTTTCAACCTCTGCTGGTGGGCTGTTCCTTTGGTGTTCCAGGACACATATCGTGGTTTTGCAACCCTCAAGCGACTCTTTGTTATCACTAGCCACCCGACTTTTAACGACCTTTCAAACGGCCTTATGGTGTACTGTGGCTGGCCCTCACACCACCTAGGGACAAATGCTCTCTTAACAACTTCCGCAACCGCTCCCCGGCATCTGACAGGAGTTCGAGGCCTCCACAGCGGCCTCATGTTCCTCGTTGCTCTTCTCCGCTGCGTCGAAAAGCGCCCTCTTTGTCACCGCAAAACTAGCCAGCGCGGCTGATGGCGGGAGGGGGTCACTGGAAACATGCTACTGACAAAAATACTTCTTGTGTGCGTGCTTGAAAACAAAGTGCGTGTTTTTGAGGATTATGTGCTTGGGATGTCCTTGGTGGACACAGATGCAACAACTTGCGCAATGAGTGCTTCCTTTAAAGGCGTGATGGGGTGGAAAGTCGTTTTTACCTGGGATGAAAGTTTGACGTTCTGTATAGTGAGGGGAGAGCTGCTGTACTTTATTCATGTGTGTAGTGCTGACGCCTTTTTTGGGACGCCTTATTATAGCGACAGAGCTTGCGAATATTTGCTCGTCGACCCATGAAGCCATTCTAGACGTGGACTTCCTGCGAGAATGTGGTGTCAAATTAGGATGTCGCAGGGGAAAGTCTTTGTAAGCGGCTAGATACCGTCAGAAGTTGTGGAAACTCCAGCAGGCACCGAAAGTACGTTGTGTTTCTGCGGCGACACGTTTATAGCTGCGTTGTCTACCATACGTGTTCCTGTTGTTTGTCGTGGTGTGGATTCCGACCGATTCGATGTGAGCGTCAGGTCATTGCACATAAACTGCGTGAAGAAGAATGTATTGCTTCCCCATTGTCAAATGTAGATCGATGGCGGACGAGCTGGCCTATGAACTGGAAACTATTCTTCATGGCCAGTGACACAACCAGTTGGTTCAAAATTAGCCTCGGTCAGCAGAGAACACCCGACCTCTTCAGTAGCCGAGCTGACAGAGGTGCCAGAAGAACGTGCAGGAACAACTAGTCACAATTTGGACGGAGCGCTTATGACCGATAAATAGGTCGACTTACGTGGCAAGGCACTGCTTAAATGGTATGCTGTTTCATGAACGCGAAGTACACGCGAAAGCTATGCGTTGGGCCAGAGTATAATTGTACTTGAGAAGAAGGTGGTGAACAGCTTGATTGGATGCATCTGGCTGACATTTAAAAAAATAGAGGAGGCACTAAGTAAAGAAAGCCTAAATAACTCACATGCGTAAACTAAAAGCACAGCAAACCAATACGATGGCTTCATCTTGGGCACGGACGCTGAAATACCTGTCCTGCAACAGAGAATACGCAATTTGAAGGAAAGTTGGCAACTGATAGCTGACTCAAGTAAAAGCAACTTATATACCAGGTGTCCAAACCGGAAAAAAACCCAAAAGCGCACCTTTACAGATAATTTACACATTTAGTGGAAAACAAAATAAAATATAAATATTGCTCTCAGCCACCCTTCAACTAAGACTGAATAGTTAGGTTTGTGCCTAATGCCCATAACAACGTTCGCTTGGAAGATTACTTCAAACAGGTCGTGGCTCTGAGATATCACACTGCAAAATATAACTTGAGTTTGAAGGATTACGCGCACAAAATGCTGTGACGATCGGCGCAATGTTCCTACCTGATGAACCGATGTGTCGAGCCATCAATGCTGGCTATCATCAGCCTGTAGTAAAAGGGTAACCGTCATCATGGCATCCTAAGCCAGCGATCGCTTTTCAGGTGAAATGCCGCGTGCAACTACCGCGGCCCATCAATTCAATGCAATTCACTTGATTTGATTGATTTATTACTCACAAGAAGATATGTCCATCAGTTTTGTTGTAAAGGCAGGGCCCCATAACTCAGAGGAATTGCGAAGGGGGCTCTTATGTCCTATCCAGTTATACAAACAATACCGAGTGTTCAAGAAATCAGTATGATGATGATATAAGGGGAGCAAATTACAAACAAGTGAAGAGCACATGAATCTATGTAGGTTACTTCTATAACAGGAAAACAACTGGGATTCTAATAGGTATGTTGGTAGTTTGGTTCGAAGACGAGATGTGGTATGTGTGAATGTAAATGATCCATAATTTGTGCGAGACTTCGGAATGGGTAAACTACTGGAGGTAACTGATCGTGTCGGGTATACGGTGTTTTGATAATTTTTACCATAACATGCAATATAACTTCATGTGTGACTTCATACAGCAATACAAGACATGGCAATCTAGGAAGTGTTTACCAGGAAGTATGTTAAGTACACTCTTAGTCAAATCCTGGCTAGAATACACGCCAGTAGGAAGGAAATCAAGTAAAATTTTGACTGCTTATACTCAGTTAGTTACCCGGCTTCGTAGCCATGTCCAAGAGTAATCAGCCCAATTCTAAGTGGCCTTGAGACTAGGCGGGAAAAAAATTAGCCAGTATTTTAGGTCACGTTTTTCATGACTAGGTACGGCCTGCGGTTACGCGTGACATTTCCGTAGGTGACCGGGCCCTGTCGTGGTTGCGTTAAAGAGCCTTATTTTTGGCACACCAGAGCAGTTTATCGCAGATAATGCGGTGGTTATTGAGTCTATGTGACGTAGGAAAGCAGTGATTGGTAGTAGAGAGGAAGTGAGCATAGGATAAACATGAGGTATGAGCATTCTACCCTCAACTTTACTGGTGTTTTTTGTTACGATATCCAGACTTTATTACAGTTTTATAGCTGAATTTATGGCCGTAATATTATGTCTTCAAAAGTTGCCCAGTTTAAAAACAGTAGTAGCAATCATCACTGACTCATTATCTGTTTCCTTCTCTCTCTACATCTGGTGAAACGCCTCTTCTAAAGCGTTTCCGAATACTAGTTCCCGCGCACCTAGAATGTCTCCACTTAATTTTGGTACAAGGACACAAGTGTTTGTTTACAATTTAAAGCGCTAATTCTCTTGGAAAAGTGGCACTTATGATGCCAATTATTCCAGTTTTCCAACTGACAACATACATTACAATTGCACGATTCCGCTCCTTAACTTTAAAAAAATGCTTATCAGACCCTGTCTCGACAGCTTCTCCAGAATATAAGCACCTATTATTTCCCTGGAACAGTGAGTTATCGCGGTCGAGAGTAATGGAAGTGGCCTTAACTAAACGTCGCTGCCGGGTTACCTTTCTCAACTTTTACCTGCATAGAGCAAGTCAAGCGTTGTCTCCTCTGTGTATATTCTGTGAGGAGGAGAAGGCAATCAGTCATTACTTTCTATCCTGTCGCCAGTATACGTCATTGAGAAGAAGATTCATAGCACCACCTCTTCGAAACTTCGGTCTGAAAATATCCGAATCAGTTGTTCTATCATTCGCTGCCTCTACTCTGGGCTACAGTCACAGGGAAGTTTGCTGCACCATAGAGAAATTTATCAGTCTGACTAAAAGAATATCGAGCGAAATTCTTCATTATTTTAAACATATAAACATTATTCAGTAATTATTTGTTGTGTAACCTATCCCTAGCAAATACGAGTAGTATGGCGAAGAAAAAAAAATCACCTAACACTCAGCCGATCCCCTGCATTGGGTGAGCCATGAGATGAGAAGAACAAGAAGAAAAAGAAGAAGAAGATCCAGGCCACGTCTCCCGCATGTAGCTTCACGTGCTCACGTCTCCCACAGTTTCAACGTGGCACGTAGCTCATCGGGGATCGGCTCAACGCCAAGTGGCAGGATCCTGTTAGCTAAGATTTGGTTTGTTTTGATTCTCGTATTCCTTGTTAGTTTCTCTCAACTGAAACGTTGTTGCAGCCCTTTGGAGGTGAGGCAAGTCAGAATATTCTGATGTTTTTCTCATCACCCGGTAAAGGGCACTCCCCTTGGCTGGCCTCACTACCAGTCAAGGATTGGCCGCTTGATACCTTGCTACGCAGTGGAGATAACTACGTCCCTGTTGCTCTGATTCCTACAAATGGGGGTTAAATTCCAATGAAGAATCCGAAGGTGATACAAGTGAAGCTTCAGAAAGCCTCGTTGCTTTTCCAGAAGATTACTGAGGTCCCCCAGTTAGGCCGATGGGGTAGTCTGTGCTGCTCTGCAGATATGGATTGCGTCCGAGAGCTTTTGAATTGCTCTGAATTCGCTGCACAGCCGGTGAGCCCGTTTATTCCAGCTCATCTTGCATGTATGAAAGGCATAGTCCATGGGGTGGATACGAGTCTGGCCCCTCAAGAAATTCTAGACATATTTGCTGTAGCTGGGGCAGTTTCAGTCTATCGATACATCCGAATGACTGATAAAACAAAATCGCCTACTGAATCAGTTATAGTAACCTTTGATGGAAGAGTCAGACCTACAGAAATTAAGGCATGGCCACTAATCTACAAAGTAGAGCCACTTCCCCCGAAACCTTTGCAGTACTCGAAATGTTGGCGATTTGGCCACAGCATGAAAGTATGCAGATCACAGGCTAGATGTCGTCTGTGTGGAGAGAGTCATGACAGTCGCGATTGCAAATCTGATGACCAGAAGTGCTGCTTGTGTAATGGAGCGCACCCTGCAGACTCTGCTGCATGTGGCGCAAAAGAAAGAGAAATGGGTGCTCTAGAAGTCATGTGACGCAAGCATTGCTCTAGGAAGGAGGCGGTAGCAGAAATGCATGAAAGATAGAAAGGTTACGCAGGCATAACATCCCGGAACACAGCGACAATGAATGCATCTCTCGCAAAGCCGATAACTGAGATTAGTGAAAAGTCTACTGAAAAGGCAATGCAGCGTCTAGCAGCTACTCCTTTTGATCTCTTGGCTGATATGTTAACACAACAGCTCAGACAAATCATTGGTACAGTTTCTGTGCAAAATCGGGACTCGCAGGCTCTGTTGATTTCAAGGGGTAAAAAGGAGGAAAATCTGACAGTTAATCTTAGATCTATCTCTCTGAAAGCACGACCTTGTAAAAATAGAGTTCACGCTCAGTCAGAACCCGTGACAAATGATTCAGGAGACTTTACAGATATGGACAGAGAATCTCAAAAGACTTTGAAACGTAACAGATCTCCCCCTTCGAAAAAGTCTTTTCAGAACCCGAAATCCAAGAAATACCTGTCAAAGAAAGACTTCTTTGAAAACCTTTGAAAAATAATTTTTTGAAAAAAGATATTCTGGATCAGGCAGTTTTTTCTGCTGGTATAGCATCAATATAGGTCACCTAAAAATCTGCAGTGGAATAGCCGGTCTATTTGGTCGGCAACTACAGATTTACAATATATTTCTTCGCAAATTTCTCCTGACATAAATGCCATTCAGAAAAATTGGCTTGCTAACGGTAACATGAAAAACTATTGATTAATAAGGCTGGATCGGCCGAGTAGAGGTGGCAGTCTGGCTTTCTTAATATCAACAAAAATTAGTCACAGAGCCAAAATATTGTATCAGTGCATGGATACGAATTACGAAATTCTGGTGATAGACATAACACTACCAGATTGCTCGCCTTTCTCTTTTGCAAATGTAAACCTTCGTGCAGGAGTTCAGGACACGAGATGCCTACATATTATGGTATCTTCGTGCAGAAAAGAAATAGCACTGTGTGGTGATTTCAATTCACACCATGTGTCGATCTGATGTATGTGGAAGACGTTTGTGGGAATGAACGCTTGATAATACCTTTTCCTGCTTGAACTCACACTTTGCTACATTTGTAAAAGGTAACTCTAAATCCACTATTCATTTAACACTTTCCATCTCCATCTTAAACATATCCTCGTGGAATACATTAGATTGTACTACAAACAGCGACCACCTTCCCATTAGATTTAACATTAAGTTCCCGAGGTTTAGTTTGGCAGGGAAAGTTGGCACATTCGTAAATTATGCTAAATTACAAAAACACTTAAAATCTACGTTAATTTTTCGCGAGTAAATGCAGGAAGACCTTACGGCTATGAGTCTATGTGCGGTATTGAAACGATTATTCAAAAAGTTCAGCGTTTACTGTAAGCTCGAACACAGTGGGATGTGTCAGCCCGTGGTAGAATCTAGAATGTGTCATGAGGTATAAAAAACGAAAAGTGGCTTGAAAGAAGCTGACAATTAACCAATGCCCCGAAAATCAGAGTGACTATGAATTCATGACCACTGATTTTAACAGTATAGTGCGCAAAGCAAAAGAAGACTATAATTTGAATAAATCCAATTATCTAAGTCTCGTCTAAAAATAAGAAACTCCTTTCCGGGTTTTTGCGTGCGAGAAACATGAATCCACAGGCAGAAAGCATTGATTCCACCATTATGTCTTCTCGCGAACTCTCTGATTTCT